GAGGAAGTATTCTAGAAGACGCAAATCAGAAAAAATGGCTAGAAGTTCAAAACACTGTCTATCATTCAAAATTTCACCGCAGACACACACAGTCTTTGTAACTCTTACCGGAGAGAAAACAGCTTGTATCAAGGAGTAAAATATGTCAATTATAGCTACTGCAATGCACATGCGCTTGTATTCAGTCCGCGAATTAGACGAGGATTCAATCGAAACATATAATAATGCTGAGTTGGTGAGAAATGAGAGAATAGCCGTGGTGATATGCATATTCACAGAGTAGGCAGCCCATCGCATCATAATTCCTAAATTCAACAAGAATGAAGGCTTTCATAATAGAATTCGTAGTGCATTTTTCTCAAATCGATTCCGCTCAAGGAGCTGTTCGACGCGGTTTATTTGACGCACATGCACTCACTGGTGTACCAAACTTACAGGCAAGTAATTTTGCATGACATCTCACTGATAGCCTCTTTCGATGAAACTCGGTACGTACGTAAAAGGGATTGTTACAGCATAAAGAAGTGGCTTACCGAAGAAACACAGACTGCATTTGGGAAGGCACTCTTCTTCATAGACACTAACTGAAGCGATTGATGGGTGAAGTAAACTCAATCCATGGTGAAAACCTCAGAAGGTGTAACATGTTTTTAAATAGGGTATTTGAACACTCCGGACTGCTCTGCTATTTGCTCGCATATTGACCGCAAGATTGGTAAGAAATTCTTGTGGTGAAGCGTTCCATTCCTAACACTGAGAAAGACAATTGCTGGACGGTTATGGACGCATGGGGATGCGCTAAAATTACTCTTTCGAATGCATACCACACGTACTCCATAGGACATGAGTGGGGGAGAGGCCCAACCAATCATCGAAGGCCCTCGCCTTCCGAGAGTTTTCTACCTATGGTGCATGATGCTCGTTGTCATCCATGCTAATGGAGTTAGATCGTACGCTTTTCTAAAAATGTGCACTTGAGAAATACCGCATCACAATAGCGTTGATCAGAAAGTGTAGCGCGATCACGAGTTGGGAGGTCAGTACGCCTTCGGCAACTTTATGCCTCCCCACACCATATCGCATGGACTATCAAAACAATCATGTTGGGCGATGGTCCGGATGCATTACATGCTCCTATTCTCGCCATATGCGGGTGAGCATAGAATGAACTACTCACTATTTACTGATAACTGGTTGTGAGATTGATGCTATCCTCCAAATTGGTGGTCCATTCCCAATGTCTCGGCTCCTAGAAAATGTTTTCGCCAATGAGTGGACTTCAAAGGAATACCAGATAGCGCTGGTTGAGCAGAGACCATCCTTAAGCGGTCACTGTTCAATTGTTTAGGCTAGGCTTCCATGCCTTACAATTGGCGTGGGTCCATTCTTGCCTGTTACAGAACGTAGCGATCACCTACTGTTTCGGATGTTCGTGATCCACCACCTCCTCTTCTTCGAGCAGCAGTCGCTACGGTCCAGATTGCTCCTCATACGCACAATATAAATGCTGTGAGTAATACCACACTTTACGAACTACACTCAACTCATCTTCCTTTTTCTAGTTGCTCGGTGATTCTTCTTCGTGTGAAGTGTTATTGATGAGCGAATTGATCGAATTCTTACTACAATAGTCCTTATGTTGTAGTACAAAATACTAGATTCGGCTCACTTTTGCATTCACTACATTACTGTCGGAGGAAATGTTCACCTGTTGAAGATGGAGAAAATACAATACATGGAGAATAGAGCATTCTCCATGTATTACATGGCTTTATCATGTATTACATGGCTTTTATCCCAGCTCTTTTGGTACTGCCAGAGATGTCTAATAAAATAAGTGGTCCCTTCGAATTGTCTCTCCCCAAATATAGACTCAGCTCCAGATTCTTCACCAACCGTGTTCACCGGCTTTGGGAAAGTCCACTGCTACTCTAGAGCACTAGTCATTTGTAAAATGACAGCTGTTGTGGGGTACAAGTTGTCAGTCAGTTCTGCCAATGCTGCAAGAAGAGAGATGGAGAACTCTTCGAAATATACCAATCATTCTTTCTATTTCCAAAAGAATATAAACGAACAAAAGACCATGGAGGCTTCTTCGTTCCCTGTCATTTTATTCTCTTTTATGCTCGTCTACCTTTCAAGCTTTTGTTTCTCATGTTTGTTCTTTTTGTTTGCCTTTTCATTCTCTTATCGATATCCGAACAAATTTCTTTATATACTTTCACCTTATGTTCGAATGTTTCTTTGAAATTTTTATTACATGAATAAAGAGGTAAAGGATAAAGCATTTGCCGTTGATCAATCCCTTTTGGGATGCGGCACGCATTCTACTTCCATTTGTACATTCGTAGTGGCGTTTGAATGCGATGTGGCCTATACAATGACTTGCGGGGGCCAGCCGATGTACAAGTCAGTGTTTTTATCCTCCCAGACAAGTCTGGTACCAATTAACCGACCCCGGAGGGATGGAAGGCTTGGTTGGCCCGGGCGACTCACGACCCAGGATTTGATCCCCGGACCGCTCGCGTGGTAAGCGTGCCACTTGCCACTACACCATCCGCCCTTATCACACCTCGAACCTCGTTGTATCCCACTACGGCTGAGCGTGTCTGTTGGTGTACGGTGTGACCGGAAATTCATAGCGCGCCCACCAGCTGTCGTCAGGAGTTGATTTCAAGATATGATATAGGGGTGGGACGGGAACATATTTGGTGGGGACAGAAAGTGATAACAGCTGATAGGGCTGATAAAAAGCGTTGGAACGCAAATGTCACGGAACTGAAAGCGCAGCATTGAGGCATTGTTTTGCAGATATGATACACATTGCGTAACAAAAGTATGTGGACACCCCAAAATTCTGCCTTCTCTAAGAAACTGTTGATTTCTGCACCATGAGATCGCCACCATTCGATTTCTCGGATACGGAAACCTTAGATTTTCTCATTTCTCACCGTTTTACATGCAGCTTTAAATTTTTTAATTAATGGAAAAACTTTCTCTGCTTCCCTGTATCAAAAGTATGTGGACACTTTTCGAAAAACAGAAATATCTTCAGAATCAAAGACTGGTAGGCCTACCAAAGATTCTGATAAGTTCAAACATTTTGTTCGGCATGTTCTGAACAGGCTCCGATATCTGTTTTGTCGAACTCATCTCAATTTCAACAACTTGCTAGGTCACTTGGGGTACCAAATTTTCTTTGAAGGCACGAGTCGGGATTGAATTGATGCGTTATTTTGTTCGAAAATTAGGCAAGGGGTGCAATGAGGAACATTAGTGAGGAGAAAAAGCAAAAAGCACCATAGAAAACACTAAATTTCCCTTAGGAGGCCGGCCGTGGTATGACGGAGACACAGCGCTGCGAGGAGAGGGAGAACGCGAGATAGTACGTCGTACGCGAGAGGACGCAGAGACCACGTATGCCGTGGTTGATAACGCTGGCAGCACGGCAGCACACAATGCAAGGTCTTAGCGCCAGTGCCTCGAACTTTTGAGTCGCGACAGTGTCCTCCCTTGGGGACCCCTCTCCTTCACTCTAGAAGGCACTGACTCTCGGGACCTAATTCTGACTCGTGGCTTTAATGGCACAAAAGCAGCTATCCTCCTACGTTTTCGATAACGATGTGGTCTGAGGAGTACGCCAGCCAATCCAGCACCCGAAACCCTTGCATTTCCAAATGGAATACGTGTGGGAACCCCTCTGGGCTTGCTGCAAAACAAGTGTTTTGTGACTGGCTTCTCGAAAAAGGTATAAGTCGGGATCCAAGCACCTCATTATAATCCTAATTGTCTACCTGACATGCTGGCAAGCCAAACTCCAATTTTCCGCTTCTTTTGAAACCACCCCAGACAATTGATGAGCCTCCTCCGAAATGTCTCTTCGAGTACAGCTGCGGGTCACGACGAAGGTCCCTCCATTAGCAACGAGATCCACCCGAATAGCCAAAGATAAGCTTTTTCTCACCAGTCGAGGTTGTCTGAGGGGAATTTCCACAGAGCGTCTTTTATTCTTATCTTAAGTTTTCACAAAAGCGCTGTCTGTGTGGGTTCAACGTCCCATGTTGTGATTTTTTTTGAACGGGAATTCCAACCTTGCCAACCTGTGCTGCGCATTCCATACACGAAGCTTTCTTCATCTTCTCTCGTGTCGTGTGCTCACTCGATTGGATGGAACACCGAGTGGTCTTTTTTTATAAGAGGGAAGTCATTTAAGCGCGAACGCGGATAGCAGACCAAAGAAATTTTGAGACAGTACAGGCTATTCTTGTGTTGTTTTGAACAAGTAACGATTGAAGACGACCCTCAATCAGTGTTGGGAGCTTAGCAGGATTCTGGATCTCTTTCCCAACAAACGAGGACGCACGACCGGGTTGACGTGCGATTTCGCAATTGGAAGGTCCAGCAACATGAGGACCCCACATCTCTGCTTGGTCCTCTTTAGAAAAATGCTTGTTGTGAAGAGGAATAATGCCAGAATAAGTAACGAAAGGAAAAAGTAAACATAGGTTAGTGCAAGAAACTTGATCTGCCTCAGGGTGTCCACATAATTTTGATACAAAGAAAAAACTTTCCATGAAAAATAGTTCGCTAAGTTAGAACGAAATCTTTTGCCAAATGTCATTGTAGGTTATCGACTAGTTGAATGGTGAAGGTTTCATGGCAGAAAACGTTTTTAGCTGACCCCTGAGAATCGAATCGGCGACAACAACAGATAGGATCTGATAAGAAGCACTAGAACGCGAATGTCGCTGACGTTCTATTCAGATGCGCGACAAGAAGAAAATTTTATTTCTTCGTGATTTCGTCGTGACCCAATCACGACGAAAATCACAGCATGCGGTGCCTATCTGTGCTTATCAGTTTTTTTTACAGTCGAACTCCAAAGCAAACCTCATCAGGTATGTAGACCTTGAAGTACACCTATGTACAGATGATATAAAGTCTTTCTAATATATAAACCGCTAACTTGGTGTGTCGGTTTACAGGCACAGCACGTTTACCTGTCTAGCATCTGAAAATTACCGATTTTAAAGGCAAGCCCTAGGGTCGAGCCGATGGAATGGGAGCGTTGGGAATTCAATACGACATTACCAAAATGCGGATAACTTTGCTGTTCATCTGTGGAAGAACGTAGCTGCTACGAAATGAGGGACAATGGCCGACGAGGAAAAACGAAGTTATTGGAGAGGAGAAAACTGAATATCTTCAAGAAGACGTAGATAAAGCTCAGACATCGTTGCTGAGCTTACTCCTTTTTTTCTAAACGAGGTTTTCAGGTGGGGACTTTGTTGACGGCCCTACCAGATCTTCTTCACCGAACGCTCAGTTCTACTATACAGGGGTGGCCAAAAAAAAGAGACACTTTGCCCATGGCGCACATCATCGAACTTTTCGTCGCACAGGGTGCCGATGTTAATGAAAGTTTTACGGCGAAATATTCTTAAGGTCCCTGAAGCTGCTTCATAATTTCTTCAATGGATTAAGTGTTGAATAGCTTCCCAGAGACATTAGCTGTGACTATGCAAAACCGCTTTTGACCAGCGTTTCAGGGACGTCGTAATGGTCTATGGTACCTCGACGACCTCGTTGAGCTCGTACCGTGAACCATGTTTCCGTGGGAAAATCTTCTGATGTCGTCGGTGTAGAAGGCTGTCATGTAATTTAGATAGATTAGAATGTGCTCTTTAATACTGAGTTGGGGCAGTCGATTTGATTTTAGCAAAGTGTGATTAATGCTGTCTGAAATGTGGAGTCAAGTGTCTCTTTTTTTGGCCACCCCTGTATGTTGATGATGGTTAGTAGGCCAATTTATCTCAACTATTTTGCCCGGCACTAACAGAGTGGCCCTGCTCCGCATCGCGATGGTGTGCTAAGCCTCCTAAAAACGATTTGATCAAAACGTCGAGCTCTCAAAAGTATTCAACCGAATACTCATTGGCAAGAGAAAGAGCATCAAATATCCAACCTTCTTGTAACTTGGTCCACTAGAAACCGCTGTTCGAGGTCTCGACGCAGACTTCCGAGTGTGTCGTAGTCTTACTGTATGTCATTGCATCAGAAGAATACAATGAAATGGTCACCTACACAGAATATCAACACTTTGTGGTAAAAATAACACGAACACAATTACTCCCTGCAAAATGCAATTCATATGTATAATATATTGACACATAACAGAAAGAAATACAGTTACTGCCTAAAGGAAATATTTGTCACTTCCTGGTACGCTAAATATAAATCTTGCTTACGTGTCCAGGCATAACAGGATGGATGCTTTTGCTTTTGCTCCATTTCCCGTTCAGCGTTTAGCAAGTTGCCGGCCGTAATCAAGGTGAATCGCAGCAAAAAAATTCTTATGCATCATGCCCCAAGTCTCGATTGTTTCAGGTGAAATTCTCAGAATGCATTTCAGAAGACGAATAATCGCCGGCAAGCCCATGGATCCCCTTAAAAATGGAGCTTACGATTAGCTAACGACAGCCCACAAGAAATCAGTGAAGAATTAGTCAGTGAGGCAGGAATGAAGAAATGACACTACCAAGAGCCCGAAAAATAGAACTCCCTTTTGCTAGTTGACTGCCGCGTCAAGCGTGTTTTATCAATTGGCCCATAACGCAAGCGTTCTCTGCTAGAAGGTTAGAGCCCGACAGCAAACGGATGGGCGGGCAGCGGCGATAGCGACGCGGATAGGGCCATACTGGACCGCTGAAGCATGTCCTTCGCTGTGAATTGCGTGTTGCTGCGCACCTTTAGGGGTCCTTATGTCATTCCACAACTGAGTTTCCCCTTTTTCCTATCGTAATCCTATCGTAGAATCCTTCGAAAAAGGGGAAATCAAAGTTGTCAAGGAAGGCGGGAGACCCCTCTATTGGTGCTTGACCATGCATGTTTCGCAGCGAAATGTGCCCCATTAATCTAGCAGCCCCCCGCCCCGCCGCGGAGCGCCCACCTCGCGTTGTCAATTTAGCAGAAAAGCATTAGTGTTTAATAGGGTAGCACAAGATGAGAGTCACATCAATACAGAAATTAGCAGGCGAGAAGGAGTCACATTATCTGGGATCTAGACCATTGCTAATCGGTTCATATCTGCTTCTGTGAACGCCTCCTCCTTAGTTTTTTATAAGCTGCCTTTTAAACTCCGCCTTCAAAGGTACGCAGAGCGCTGTTAATTACCGAGTGTGTGCTACTTTTGATTACCGATGCTGTAAAATCCAAAATTTTCTGAAGTTCCTGCCCCGCTTCCGCGGTCGCAATTGGAGGATTTGTCTGCAACGAGTTGATACTTACTTAGGATAATCAGGCTATCAGTCCATCGGCATGGCACTTGGCGTTGCACGAGTCTCAACTACTTCTCCATTGTTCTCGACCTCGAGCATGAGTTGTACAATGAAATATCACCTTGAGAATTGAGGATTATATACGTTTCTACGTGCCAGAGCCTGTCCAACGTACTGCAATACGGCCAGGCCTCCATTACCCTAGAAAAACGATACCCCTTAGGCCCCTAGCCTCATGAGCATAGCAAAAAGAACGGAACATAAGCGTTAGTTTCGATAATACTAATCCTACACACAAGACAAAATGATCACTCTTTCCGTGGAAGATTCCTTTAAGGTATCGTTTTCTGTGGTAATGAGGGCGGAGCTTTTTCCGTGGAAGATTCCTTTAAGTTCCAAAATAGAATGAAACTAATTAGTTCGTGCTTCAAAATTTAAAAGTTTCATTCTAATGCTTTGGTGCACCTTCAACAAATCTAAAACAGCGGCCAATCGAAAATTGTTTGGAGGGTAGCTCATGAATTACCGTGATAACCACATTTGAGTTGATTCACTTTATATTAAATTTCTCAAATAATACATATTGCTTCAGAACTGAGCAGGACACCGGAGCACCGGAATATTGTGGAAAATTTTGAAAAACTTTTGAGGTTCATTTCTCTGATATTTTCGAATACCCGAAGTCTCAAAAGTTAAAAGTTTATAATAGATATTGTTTGAAGATTTGAAATGGCGTCACACCACACATACAAACCCAAAAAATGAATCTTTATTAGTGATTGATTAAGCATAAACAAAGTAAAAGGTGAGATTCTTGCGAGCATTCGGACGAAAAACCTGTGTTTGCTATCCGCGTGTAGCACATCCTCGACCATTGCAGGTGAGGAAAGAAGCCGACACTCGGCGTACCGATGTAAGAATTTCCGTAGCGGTCGACGTTGTAGCCACCACCTCCGAAGAGTCTTCCTAACAGCGAAGGAGCTCGATAGCTGTTGTATTGCTGATAGTAACCTGGGTACTGATTATAGCCATAGGAGGAGTATTGGTTGTATCCATAAGGACTGGAGTAGTACGATGGTCGGGAATAGCCGTACTGAGAGTAGTAGGAGCCGTACTGCGAGAGCACTGTAGTGAGGAGAGCAGTGAAAATTGCGAACAGTAGCCACATTGTTGTTGGTGGTAGTTGACGATGGTCAAGCATACATATATAGTAACAGAACAGGAGCTGTTTAAGTGGTGATTTGATGGGGTCGAGGGGTTGTTAAGCCGCGCGGATCTGCTGCTTCCCTGTCCAGCACCTAATTCGCAATTGTCGCTTTCTCTCTTACGCAATTCAATCAAAACCTATCATCGTCTTTCCTTTCTTATCAGCTATCTCTTTGCATGTTTCGCCCTTTCAATTTATTCTGCGCAAAACGTCTTCCCATCAATGTCCCTTCTGATTTACAAATAGGTTCAGACGGCTATAGTATTCCCACACTGTGGAGACCAACATCGCTGTGAAGCAGTGCTTTAGAAAGTTCAAAAGCGATCAAAGGTGTAGTTGTTAAGACTTATTTGTTACGTTGCCGCTAACTCATAGGTAAACCATACCCCCAATGCGGAAATAAAGAAACTCGCTCCTAGCGCAATTACAAATACAGGTCCTTGGTTTACTGGTAGCTTCTGGTCGGGATCGTTTTATGACCAATTTCGGCCATGATTTAGTAGCTATTCAACGGTGAACAAGTTCTCGGTAAGCTCCGAACATAGGAAGCTAGTTTGTCAGATTTTGTGTGCGGAGGCTTCAGAAATAGCTAAATTTGATTTAGGTTTATGGTTACAGTCTGCAAATTCGCTTCGAGAATGGAACTTTTTTAGACGACAATGAGTGATCCAAAGTGTGAGTGCGGCTAAACCCACGAATCTAGTACATGCAAGTCATTCATGTAAATATATTACAGATTACATTTAGGCGAGATTTCACACTTCCAATGCTTGACTAACCCTCGGCGCAGGTTTTGTGAATAAATCCCGTACAGCAAATTAATTGGTGGTTTGTATGGTACAAGCGAAGGAAAGGCGTCGCGATTGTTATCAATTTGGCTGCTGAACTGCTGCTTCTAACTATTACAGTTTAATAATTACAATGATCCATCTCTTTCAGGGAATACTTAAAATGCTTCCTTTCAAAAACTTCTGCTAAAAAGGAAAGTTTGCCGGACACTTATTGATGCTCATTTTATAGAACGGTGTCAGTGCACGGACATCAGCCTTGAACTGGATCAGATCGTGCGAGGTGTTTGTCTATGTTGAAATGAAATTTACCACAACAAAAAAATTCAAAGGCAAACTCCGGGATAAAACGAGGAAGTTCTCTGTACAGATATGACGCTCCGGGTGCTAACTGAATCAAACCTTAATAAAAAAGCAGGAGCTGCCCCCGAAAAGGTCCAAAATAATGGCCCTCTTCGTTAGTTACTTACAATCCAGAGGGCTGAGAGGACGACGTCTGAACGTGTTCACAGCAGCTGCTGGCTCCATGCCAACAACCGACACGGCCATAAAAATCAGCATTGGAAAATTAATTTCTTCCCAATCTTTTTCTATTGTTTCTGCTTGTTCTGCTTTTTTGCTTGTTTCCCATTTTAAAAAAATTATTCTTCTTAGAATGAATTGCAAAGTTCCCAGATAATGACTCGCAACATAGGCTTTGATGTTGAAGTTGGCAGTCGAAAATGCGAAAAACATCCTCCTAGGACCTTGCCAAACAACAGCTTGACATCTAGTGTTCCAAGTGGTTTGGAAAAGTCGCGTGGAACTGTGGGCGGGCCAATGGTGGATGGGGCAGCGCCAATGCTCCAACTTAGGCGCCTAGCGCCTAAACCTTGTAAAATCACCCGCGTCGCTTCTGCACATGTCCGCGCTTGCGTACTGCTCCATATTTAATGGGAAGAGCTAATTTTCGACCAATTATCCCGAACTTTGCCTTGAAGAATTCAACGCTCACCCAGATAGTTTACAATACCACGGAAATCTCAAGACACATGGTAGAATACATGACGGCATTGCCACTCAGTGGTCCCAAACATTAGATGAACTCTACCAGAAGGAGTGGCGTTCTATAGTAGACGTTGACATGAGATCTAATTTACACGTATTCCTGAAGCATACCCAGCTCTGACAAACGGCGATTTCCAGCAGATGATCAACGTGTGTTATAAGTCCATGAGGCGCCCGGTATTAGCCAAGATTGGCTAGACTTCGCCCAATATTCAATTGCACGATTAGAGTGCTGATACCTTACGGGCTGCAACATCACGCCCTGTTGGGCATACACTTACCCCCCCAGCTGATGTAGAGATCAGCGTGCTCTCTCAAACGGCGTGCTCTCTTGTATGTTTTTCCTTCCTTGATCGCGCTGTTTCCTCGTCGTACCACATCTAACCTTATTGAGGGTGAAGGCCTTGTTTTAGCGTTTCCGATGACTCTTGTTTTCTTCTTTACTCACACTTATATTTCGCAGCTCTGTCATCATTGCGAAGCGCTCTTATAACCAAATTTATCCGGGTGCTTGCCATTAAGTAGTTGTACAAATGCAGTTCTCCGTTGCCTAATTCCTTCCATTTCGCCATTTGTAGTGGAGTTGTGCAGCGCAATGCAACGAATTCAACATGTAGCAGCCATCATTTCACACATAACTTTATTTTTTGTTGTAGAGGAGCACAAGTATTATTATACATTAATAATTATAGACACTACTCTAAAAATATTATTATACATAACATCTAACAAATGTATTGAAGTCTCGCCTTACTTTGATTGCAGCTATGAGGTACTTAGGCAATATCAAAAATATCATCATCGATCGTGAATATAAACAGCAATCGAAACACGTGAAAAATCAAGTGGGAAATCTACACTGCGCTCACTACTCTCAAAATCCCCGAGTCTCGACAGCTCCCAGACTTTCCAGGACACAGGTGGTAAGGTAACACAAGACTTAAGGCAGCGATTGCGATAAAGTAAGAGCGCATCGGGAAGCATATGCACCATACGAATCAGTTTCTCTTGGTGCTAGGAGCGGAAGCAAGTGTGTGCATTTAATGACGGTGAAGTCGCTTGATGCTGAGAGAGACTCGAATAGGCACTCTCGCCCCAGAAGCGATCAGCCCACGTAGTTTTATGATTGGTGATGTTGGAAGCGCGCTATCCTGCACGCAACAACTGAGGCAGACTCGATGGAGTTGTGGGTTGGCATGGTGTCTACCAAACGCCAGTGCTTGCGCTGACTCGGTGATCTCGCCCACCTTCTGAGCTTCCACACCTCAATGAGTGGAAACCAACCTCCAAAACAGGGGTTTCATTTTGCAATTTTTGACGGATTTTTCCGATTTTTTCGCCACCGTACCATTGTGCACCGCCACATCTCCTCTAAACCCTTCTTGAACTATATCGTAATCGCTGCCTCCAAAACAAAAAAGATTAAAGAATACCCTCTTCAAAAATGTCTAAATACACAGCCCCGCAGAATTATACATCCACCTATGAATTTTGGGAAAACTCTGCTCCCAAGATGTATTCGAAGTCTCTATATGGAAAAGGTTGCAGGTATGAATGTTATTTTGCACGCCAACACAAAGTTTTAGCTTAGAAAAGAAAATGTAGCCCCCATCGTGCATAAGAAATCTCGGCCTACCTCACCAAATACAACCTTTTGGAAGTTACACACACCACCCCTCGCTACTGAGGATCCTTCGATCCATGGCAAACAATTTATTGGGATGAAAACATTAGCTTAGGCATACTTCCTTGTTCCTGCACCCTATCCCCCCTCCCCGCCTTCCCCCCACTCATATTGGTACAAAACAGGATAACCACTTCCACTGTTGTGCATTTAATGTGCACGCGAATATGAGGGGATGATATAAACTAGGACACTGCTAAACGCCCATAAATCAAGTGGAAAATCTGCATAAGTTCCCGAGGATGAACTTTCCGATGGCGGCAAACTAATAAACATCAAATCTGACAAAAAAGCAGCATCGGAAATTGAGTGAGCAGGAGGGTTTTCGGACATTCCTGGAGCCAAAGAAGATGAAGGAGTATGGAATATACCGGCTGGATTCGATTTCAGGCTTCACAAGGATGAGAAGATTCACCACAGACCAAAGATCAGCACAAAAATCATAGGACTGTATGTTTATTCACGGACATTATTGCACTTGTACAATAGAGCATAGTAGATGATTCAGAATTTCGACTAGAACGACTACATCAATCGAACAACACAGAAGGCAATTGGCTGGCACACGTGTGATTCACATTCAGACGACGAGGATATGTCCACTACAGAACTGAGAAACTTGAAGAAGGTGATGGTCGGCCGTACATGGGCATACCGTCACAATGAGCGATGAGGGGTGAACAGTGTCTTGAAACGAAAGCAATAAGTGACGTGATAGCACGATATGCACTCACAAGTGAGCGAATCACTCAGCAAATAGTACAGCTAGCTATAATACTTATGGTTATATGATAAAACTCTGTTGATTACATCACATTCAATAAAACAAGCCGCTATTTCCAATAGTCGTACGAATCAGCTATGGGCCGGTATTTTAACACAAACATGATCATATCAGCGATCACTTAAGTTGCATGTTGCGACACAACAATTCAAAACAATCTGATTACAATTATCTGTAATGATTACAGTTGTCACGGGATAAGCATAACTCAGTAAACTCTTCTTTTACATGTTGCTTACGAGCCTGTACTTCTCCTCCAAGGACATGTCGAAGCCGCGATGGATATTCTTCTTGTTCTGACGCAGTCTTTCACGAGCCTCCTGCGCCGAAAGACCGAATATGTCGAACTTGTCATTTGCTGGTGACACTGAAAAGATTGGGATTAAACACAACACGCTCGGTTCCGTCCACGATAATGGTGCAGAACCGTTGTTAACAGCAGGTTTGGCGGTACCCAGGGTGCGGAGGGAGAGAGATACTAAAGCACTTTCAGCACGGCAACCTGTATCAATAAATGGCTCACTTTCGACCATTACTTTTAGAACATCACTACTTTGCGCTCGGATAATTATTAGAAAGTGCTCGCACTTCAGACCACGCGGCGACGCGGCGTTCTGCCAATCGCGCTCTCTCAAGCGCGAGCACTGGGTCTAAGCCTAAAAAAAGCAATTGGCAGGCTGAAACAGTGTCATTCGCGACTTTGCACATTCCAACTTTTGGCACACGATGAGTGACTTACACATGCTGGATCCAGGGTCAACCGTGACGTTCGCACTTTTTCAAAAATTTCGCGACCCCCCTCCTTTAGGGGGTCTCGATGCGACCCCCACCATCAGAGACTCAGGAGGCTCCCCCAATACGACCACCATCCTGACCACCACCCTCGCCATCATGGCTGTTTCTATAGCATTTGATTCTGAGACCAGTAGACACAGCCCGCTTTCCTTTCAAAACAGCGTCCAGCGGGGTAGGGGATTCATAAGTGCAATAAAACGGTAAATTTCCTCTCCTCCTACCTATCCATACTTGCGCCAGAAAAACCAATCTAACCAATCTAAATCGCCTCGTCATCCATCCAACCAATGACTCCTACTCAACCCATAAATTCGACCCCCTCCCCGAAATCAACCACAAATGCGATCCCCTCGTTCGAATAGTGCGAACGCACAGTTAACCTATCTTTCCCTAGGCTCGTCTTACAGGGAGGGTTCAAGGCAAATCGTGCTTTTTCTAAACGGTTTTTTGCATGTTATAGGAACTCATGCGTGGACTACAGAACCAAGGTCCATTTTCGCTGAACGGCCCCGAGAAGGCCAAAAAAGTGGTGAGGAAATGGTCCAAGGATCAATCCCCGTGATGACAAAATTTTTGCATTTAGGTTGGAGCTTCCAAATTTTCTCAAAATAGCACCAGCGCAAAAATTAGGTATCATATCATTATCAGGACCACCAGTGACTATTCAGGTGTTGACTGGATTCAGGCGAAAAAACGTTCAAGCTTCAAAGGTGGTCAAATAGTGCTGAAGTGGCATAACTTGGAGCCACGCAATGCTTTGCAAGAGCACTGCAGCTTGATTTCTCTGCATTAGCATACTTCACTCACGGGAGTAGGAATTTTGACGCCAAGTGGCCCGACTTGCCATGGCTTGAAAGCTGAATCTCGCCCGGCCAACCGAGCATCCCACTCTGTCGTGGTGGGATAACAGTGGTAACAGAGTCATTTATGAGAATGAAACACAAAAGCACGCAGATTCGCTGGTTTACTCAGATCCAAACAGCACTCAAATGCCACTGTAATTCGATACCAACAAAAGTTGTGGCGCACCCGAAAAGGGACTGAACATAACCAAAGGTTGTAGAGTTTTATGCCTTGATTCTCCTCATAGCAAAGTACTTCTGTCTTCCAGCATAAAGGAAAGCTATAGCCATGACACGTAAATTGAAATCTTACCGCTATTTGTAGATGTTTGGTATCCATTCAAACTGCTACCGTTGCTTGGAGGTGAAACTTGAGGCGCATTTTGACGGTTCGGCTGGTATGTCGGAACATACTGCAAATGTATATAAAGACCTCCCTGTGCATAACACTTGACGTATTTTCTCCTAGTATTCCTAATTTCACCCTCGAGTGAATTTGTTGGCAACAATTACAAACCAAAGGAGTCCCTTTTTTTACAACTTCTCACGAATACAGCAAAGAAATAAGTCCAAAATCTTGAATGAACCACAAACAGAATGTTTGCGGAATTTGCTCAAATAAACCCCTTGAAGAAGCGAAAATTCACTCATATAATATGTTTCTGGGCGCTCATGTCCTTAGGGGGACATTCAAAACAGGGCATTCAAAAACCGCTGGTAGGTGACACTAGGACTAAGCCCAGGATTGGGAATAAACACCAGGGAGAACAATGGTTGCTCACATTCTCTCCCAGAATCCTTTCCCCTCCCTAAGGCTTAGTCCCAAGTTCTATGAGTGGCCCACTCACTTCCAATGTCCCCCCTAAGGACATGAGCGCCTGTTTCCGTTTTGAATTGTTTTGCTGATTGCAGTTTTTCAACCCCGTTCTCGATAAGTTGTATTATCGCTGAATGACAGAATGTTCAGAAATCACTTTGCCTCAGCCGAGTTCTCAAACAACTTAATACTTGTTCTCTGAACAGATGTTAACCATCACACTAACCTATATTATAGAACCATACGGTAAAGTACCATAACAAACCTCAAATGCACTGAACACAACGGCTGGAAGGAGAAGTGGTTCCGATGACCTCTTTGGGCATTGCTCCACAATCTAGCCGTTGTGTTCACTGTCATTGACTCAGGGTTCAACTGTATATATCATACACAGCTCAGCATTATGCGAAGTCTAATAATCTGCATATATGGTGAAGCCATTTGGTAACTATACTCTTGAAAAAGGAGTAGAGCTCAAGGCAGGCATGGCCTCGGCGGTGTGAGGGTTAACCGTTCCTTTCAAAAGCACGAGGTCTGAATCCGACTGGGCAACGTGTTCGGAACATAACTCATCACGCTTAAGAAAAAAAAATTGAAGTCTTTAAAGGTCAGCTTCTTTACTAGAATTATTCGGATAGATTTCGAAATTTTGAAATTCTAGAAAAAAGATAGAAAATTTCAGGAGTTTCCAATAGAGGAAATAAGAAGCTGAACAACTTGTTGAAGTTGTCATTTTGCTAGCGTTTTCACTCAATTGCTTCTACAAAAGAGCAAGCTAGGCCTATTCAACAACTAAACGCTCTCGAGCTTCAAACATTTTCACTCAATTGCTCCTATCATTTCAATATTGCCAAGGCAATCACTTTGGCTCTAGTATAATGCGCAGCCGTGCAAAGTCTGTCAAAATTATACCTTATGATTGCCCCTATAAACATATCGTTGTAGCTTTCGAAATGATGTTCTGCTCGCAAACCTTGGCGCAACATTTGAACCGCATTTAGACGAGCGGCAATGCTGAGCTACAATAGCGCGATAGCTTCACCAACACCATGTATTGTGAAAAAAGCTTGGTAGTAAAACTAAGAAACGTGTTAAACATAATAAATCAAAGGCAGGTGGTACGATAAATTGAATGCTGAAGAAGGACAAACTGCCTACTATCGAGGGAGGATAAGTCCCTAAAGTACTAACGATAAGACGTACGCTTTTGCCGCATCTTGCAGCGTAATAGCTTTGGAAGGCGTTCCCCGCCGTTTTCATGAAAAGTGCCACCTCCACAGGGCTGACATTGATTGGACTGAGGTCGTTGAGAAGAGTGTAGGAAGGTAGGGCAGGACGTTCACATTGATGCCGCCGTGAAATTTCATCAAGCGCGAAAAATAAAAGAAAAAATGCGTCCCATTTCGCAGTTTTTGAGCCTCACGTTTACAACTTCTACTTCCATTGCCAACGACGATCAATTTATCGTACCATCTGCATTTGAGTAGCACAAAAAGAAACCAATCCCGAAAACCAAGTCACATACATGCTGTTGCACATCAACGGCGCTTTCGTGAGATGAATGCGTGGAGTTAGTGCGAGACGGTGGACGGGCCTTGGTGATCTGCTGGAGCGGCAGCTCGACAGTTTTTGACAGAAGCTCCGGCTCTGCTGAGACCATATTGGTTTCAACCGGTGTAAGCGATGGTAACGCTGAGAACACGGCTTCAAGCAGATCACCTTGAACCTCTGCAGTGACGACGTTTTCAACACCGGTAGCCGATTCAGGTTCGTGCTGGACGACTTCGGTCTCCTCGCGGTGCACGCTCACCTGGTCCGGTACAACTTCGTGCACTTCTTCTGTTTCGATGTGCTCCATGTGTTCGACGTCATTGTCTGACTAGAAACAACACAATGAACTCAAAACAAAGTGCTTAACCAAAATGCTACCACCACACACAAAACACCACTAACGACACAACATCAAATAAGCGTGGGTAATTAATGCCAGACGATACCAAACAACTGTGTAACCTCACCTAAGTAAACTGAACAGGTTCAAAAGCGGCGTTTAATTCCAATTCTCACAAAAAAAAATGCAGAACTTAAGAAGATAATGCAAGAAAACTAATCACAACTGAGCTCAACTTCTGAGACCCTTGCTTAACATTTGATGCTCACAAACCTGAGGTTGCGCTTTATGCCGATGCTGTTGAAATTCCTCGTCGTCGCTTATCTGTATGCTCTGAAAGTAGTCAACAAAGGAATTCCGGGAAAAAGGAAGGTGGCAGCTGTAACACTCGGAGCCACATAAATTGTTGCAAAAAAAGGAATCCGTGCGAATTGATAATAATTGAAACCTTTCAAAAAGAAAACCACTGGAACCACGTAATGCCAGCTTAGCACCGACAAAGTGCGACTTAATAGTCAAACAGAGGGATAGACAGGGTGAAAGCAGCGACAGAGGTGGGATTGCAAATGTTGTCGTAAGCGAAATTTGACCATACCGAGCACAGACAGTGTCAAAGGCAATTCATAAGGAATGACAAAAAGTACTGAGCTTGATGCAGGTTTCCACTACATAGATGATTGTGCCAGTGCAATGAGCTGGTGCATTCCTAGTTGAAGAGGAAACTAAAATGAAGCCCCAATTTTAGTGTGGTGTGCGACTTTTAGCTCTCATCGACCCTTATTCTGATTGAGCGAAACAAACACAACACATCTCTACCTTCGACTACTCAAAGTTTTTCGAAATTCCATGTATTAAAGCCAATCCCATATAAGAGTAGAGTAGCCCACGATATACACATATGTAGTCCTTGTCGCGGCTAAAAATTGTGCGAAAGTGGCGCGGAGTCCGCGTTAAATGGTCTGATGGGGGCTAATGTGAACTTATGGACGAGATACCTAGCGCTTCCCCCACCCCCTGATGCGCAGCTTGGATTACGACGTAGCGACTAATTTTAATACGCGCGGGTTTGCGAAGCCATGGAGCAAACAAGTTCAGATAACTTCTCGGAACTAGGGAGGGATTACTTGTTAGAGGCTTTATCGGCGGTTGATTTGGAATTTTTTCTTTCATTTTCGGTCTGTCCAGTAATTACATTATCGACCGCTGTTAGCCTAACAATTTGATATGAGGTTATTGCTTCAAGCACAATTCAGCTTTTCCGCAATTTGGGACTGTCAGCATCTTCAGAATCAAGCATTAAAAGCGAGTAAACTTTTAGCGGTGACCAACAAATGGCTCCAAATGCCGTGCAGAGCGATGAAATAAAAAAAACGTTCCTCTTAAGCAGGAGCAAAATTTGAGTGCTGGAGCACGATAGGCGGAAGGTGCAGCGACAAGTGTCACAACGGGAAGTAAGCCCCGTCACATTCTCGGCAAAACTAAGACTCGCGTAACTCCAGCAAGCTTTCTCGCTAACAGAATTTTCACAAAAATGGAAACGCGAACATTCAAAAGCCATCGTCAAAGCATACAAATTGGTCTATTGGATCGTAAGACAACACGCAAGAATTAGGTTATGAGTAGCTCTTTCGAGAGAAATCATAACTTTTGACTCGCATTCTAAAGACGGAAAGAATTCGGTTTCCCAAGGTTACTCTACAAATATTACCAGTCTAGAAGTGCATTAAAGGCACGAGTCGGGATTGAATTGATGCGTTATTTTGTTCAAACATTAGGCAAGGGGTGCAATGAGGAACATTAGTGAGGAGAAAAAGCAAAAAGCACCATAGAAAACACTAAATTTCCCTTAGGAGGCCGGCCGTAGTACGACGGAGAGACACAGCGCTGCGAGGAGAGGGAGAACGCGAGATAGTACGTCATACGTACGCGAGAGGACGCAGAGACCACGTATGCCGTGGTGGATTACGCTGGCAGCGCGGCGGGCAAGGCCTTAGCGCCATTGCCGCGCACTTTTGGGTCGCGATAGTGTCGCGCCCTCAGTGCTTGGGGAGCCCACTATCGCACCCTGGGAAGAACTTCTGCTGGTTGCCTAATCCTGACTCGTGGCTTTAAGTGAAGAATAGAGCTATAAAACTTCTCCCACCCAGCGAAAACCCCTGCATAGCCCAGATCTTCCGAAATTCTCGGACTCTGGAACAATCAGGGCAACAGAACTACGACAACGACATTTCAAACAGAAAACACTAGGAACAGGTTAAACTGGGAGGAGGCACCCAGAACGCTCACATGTGGACTGAGCCTTCTGATAGGTGATTGGGATGTATTCTTCGCTCGACATAAGTCAAAACGAGAAACTCTGTACCATGCTCCTTGTACCATCTATCCACGTCCTCTGATGCCACCAAAAGTGTCGTACGTAATGGTGAACGTTTAATTTGTGCAACAACTTCCTGCAAAAACATTACTGATCGTAACAAGCCTTCTTGTTTTGAAACTATTACAAGATCTCAATAAAGAACCATATCACCAAGACTCGTTAATGAAAAAGAGGGTGTAGAAGGAAAGAAAACGGAAAATGTTAAATTCTAACTATTCTACCTTATGAGGCGTGTTCGGATACACCAACATGCCATTTACTCCAACAATACGCTGGCCCATTCGAAGACCGGCACGGTCTCCGATACCGCCTTGGTCTACTGTACCAATAAAGTGGCCACGGCCTTTTCAGCGTGCAAGTTGAAGCCGAATTCCTCTCCTTGTGAGGACTTCTCCTGAACAATTTCACAATTTAGAGACTGCAATGAAAGACTATCGGATATTCAGAAGATTTCACTCACTAATTTGCATAAACGAGGTCTTGGTTTACTCATGACCGGTTCTTCGTGGGGAGGGGGCGGGGCGACGAACACTGGGTCGGTGGCCTGAAACAGTTAGCTATTAAGAAAATACAATGCCACCACTAATTACTTGGAGCTTACTTTAAGAACATAAAACGACTATAAGAACCATTATTACGTCATCTGGGAATCATCCACAGACGTGAAGGGGCCATGCAAACAATAGTGGTCAAACGATGTCAATCACACGGACTCATCAATTCCTCTCTTTCAAAGGTCGAGTAGGTAACCATCAAGACTCATCAAAATGAAATGCGCGCATCGTAACTGTCGGCAAAAGGTTAAGAATTCATTGCTAGTCATTAACTATTGAGGAGAAACATTCCACCTCACTTGAGCAACAGCCACTCGTCCGTAGTAGCCATTGCCTGAAAGTACCGCGATTCAATCGACTTAAGCCGCATACCGCCCGACGTTCACATTATCCTCGTCGCGCGAAGCCCATGATTATTCACCACACCACCACATCACGCAAGCGACTGGTACTATTCAAATAATCAAACCATTAGACGACGCAGAACAAACAACAAGAGCACTACGATTGCGGATCGCATCGTACTGAAGCAGCGCTGCGTACTGAAGCAGCGCTGCGAACAGTCAATAGCAACAAACAGTTCCTTATGGTTAGCCATTAGTGGTCGTTTGAGACCTACAGCCGGCTCAGCATGGAATCAAATGGTATATATGCGCTTAAGGTCCATACCTGGACTCAGGAGCCGATTAAAGGAACTATTGATGGCATGACGTACGTTCTTGGGATCCGTAGAAGTAAAGAATTTAAGAGGTATTCCTTAAAAAGAATTGAAGAAAGAAAAAGAGAGGAGCGCTCTGCTGATCTGTTCTACCTTTCCCCTTTCTCCGGTTATTTCTTCTTTTGAGAAGGTATGCATCAAATTCATAAATTTGATTTCTACAGAGTGGATCCCAAGGTCGTAGAATCTGCCATAAACAATTGTTCCCAACAATTTAGAGAGACCAACAAGCGGCAGGACTGAGCGTTTCGGTAGCGATCAATCTGCTTCCAATTTATAAAGGTGGAAGCTTTCTGAATGCCTACACATAAGGCCTATGTAAATATGGCTAACAGAGAACAGCTGGTCCGATTCAGTATTTTTAGCCACAAACCAGTATGGCAGCAGCGAATTGGCCACCGGCACATGGACAATGGGTTTAGTCGAGTAGTAGTCTAGCATGCGAATCGGAACTACAATCGCTTGTGAAGGAAGCCCTCAAATCTGAGAAGGGTCTTCAACGCATTTTAACGCCCACATTCCCTCGGCAGATGATGCCAATCAATTTTATCTGAGTCATGTGGTATTGGTTGACAGAGTTGACGATCAATGTGAAAAATGACACCCACTGCAGTAAGAACAGAATCGAATAAAACTTCAGAACCAGTCGTAACATTGGTTAGCATAGGGCTGTGATAGCGGCGAGCGATTTTTGTGAGAAGAATTCCCAACCATACTTTTATAAACACTTCAAGACGTGACAATCCGATAAAATGACCACTGATGTTCTTGCAATTCGCATTCTGTTGCAAGGACTATATCCACAACAGGGAACCACCCTCTAATCCTCTTACTAATTCGGGATTCCACGAAAATCGCACTCTATTACCCACCGCTACAAAGTTCCTAAGCCCAGCCAGATCTTATTTATTAGCGAAATCTCTAGCTCGCCACCTGAAACGAGCACCAATGTCCATAAAAGGATCACGAAGATAGAAACTGCATCAAGAAGCCGCCTCAGGGAACTAAGTCCAATGCACATAGTGAGTTTGGCCTTAGAGGCAGCGAACTCGAGGCCAACGGTGGAGTGGTTTTGACGACGTCAGCGGACGTCATTGGTGGACCGAGCTTCTCCGCCTGTTGGGGCTGTGATTGGGGTGCGTAGCGTTTCTCCTCCTTCAGGTCACCTAAAATTGAGACGCCGTTTATTCGCTCGGAGTAATCTTAGGAGTAACCCAGGCCCAATCATAAGTCAATGTGGAAGCAGAAGTCTTATCCTAAGCCTAAATCCAAACTTAACTTTAAGCTTTAATGATCGCGCAACTGTGGTGACCTGGCCCTAGGAGGAGAAACGCACGTCTCCCGTGTGGTTGAGACAACCTCCCGACGCCCTTAGACCAATCACGCTCACTGAGGTCATCAAAATCGCTCCGCCCTTCAGCCACAGTGATCACTGCCGCCATTTGTCTATTATAGAGCCCACTTGAAGATTACTAATAATAAAGTCCCCCCCCCCCAACATCATGGGACAACAACAACAGCGTGCCCAAATCACCCAGTTGTCGGGAACATACATACAAATTCACTAGCAATTATCGAAATCCCTTCTATGATAATAATTAACGTGAGAATTTAAAACGAATGGTCTATGGTATCGACAAACACAAAACCCACAAATAGGATGTTTTCTTTGCGTGTATGTTGCATTTACCATGTTTAGCAGTACTTGCTGTAAAGAGTGGACGCCCACAGTTGAAAAATATGTTTGGACAACATGAAACAGAACAGGAAAATGCATCCCTGTGCTCTATTCCGAAAGGACTGTACACAGATACTTGAGACGGCGTTTATCAGGGGACTACGTGGCAGAAGGTTGCAAAAACTTAAGCTTGCTATCTAAAACGGAATGTGATCGTTTAAAAGATAATATGATAAGAAATAAATAAGCAAATTCCTTCGGACACTCAAAACCAGTGACTGACTAGTTTACTTCGTTGAAGGAATCTTCCGTGGAAAAAGCTCCGCCTCCATTACCACAGAAAAACGATACCCCTTAGGCCCCTAGCCTCATGAGCATAGCAAAAAGAACGGAACATAAGCGTTAGTTTCGATAATACTAATCCTACACACAAGACAAAATGATCACTCTTTCCGTGGAAGATTCCTTTAAGGTATCGTTTTCTGTGGTAATGAGGGCGGAGCTTTTTCCGTGGAAGATTCCTTTAAGAATAAATGAACAAATTTTTCCCGTCTTTTATGTCCATAACCTGAAGGGCTTCGTCTCAAAGGAGTGGAGGAAAGCAAAGTGAAGTAGAAGAGAAATGCTGAAGAGCTACACTAACGGTGGAACTAATGACTACCAGAAAACAACCTGATTTACACAGTAGGCGACTGCTTTCAGACAAACTTTATGACCACTTGAAGAGTAGCGCTTCACAGCAAGAAGGCTAGACAACACTACGACGGAGAGGCAAAATTAACATGAGCTCAAAAAAAGCATTCTAGAAAGTGTCCAAAGAATTGGTCATACTTTTCAGAACGGAAACCCTTCATCAAAAAGTCGCTCAAATTGTGAAGAACGCCGGAAATCCGGTACCAATGACGTTGCTATACAGTACACATGACCTTTGCAGTATTTGCAAAAGTCATTTTGTTTCACTGCAAAAGACTGTTCAGAGTGTGGAATGTCGGAAAGAGGGCCGCGAAACGTATACAGCTTACGAGCAGCCATATGAACGGGGAGAAACCATAAGCCGCTTTCAAGAGCTAACAAAGGATATTCATGCGCAACTGCTCCCAAACGAATACACACATTGTGACATTGAGCACGATATGAGGGTATCTGCGGCAGAGGCGCGTACGCACGTTGAACAACAATTAGTCATCACCTTGTGTGTCATGCCCGTTCTAGAAACACGGCTTCACACCAACGAACATGAACGATCGCAAATCTTAGCCTTTTTTGTTCCACAACACAGAGATCGGCAAGCCCAAGAGCAGGTGACCATGCATAGTTGGCGTTTTCGAAAATCTTAGCCTTTGTTGATCTACAACACAGAGATCGGGAAGCGCAAGAACAGATGACCATGCACGGTTGACATTTTCGGTCTCAGTCCTCGAAGAAGGAGAAAACTTACGGTCCTTATTCACGGAATCATGTCACAATAGTCCTAAGAAGTGAGAAAGGCGGTCTAAGGATCATTTGAGCCACTATGGCCCCCTTAATCACTTGGTCCACCACGAACAGTCAAGATATGATTATTCAACCCTATGTAGCACACTGCATAGTAAGCTAGCTCAGGTAGAAAATTCCTACTTCGCTTACAATGACGCAGTGAGGTAAACCCCGTGCAGGGCATCTATAAGTCGTAGGCTTAAGTGGAAATTCGTTTACTGTGTCTGAAAAACGGTTCGCAACCTGAACACGTCAACGGTGAACATTCTGCCACGATGCTCTCATGCTGAGCAGCAGCAGGGCTCAATTTTGGCCACAGGAGCTTGACTCCACGACTGTGAGCAATCAGGTAACATCTCCACGGATCCATTGAAAGAGAACAAAACGGTCCTTTCATAAAAGCTCAGAAGCTCGTACATCCCTGATATTAACGCAGCGTCAGAATCTGCATTCAAAAAACCAGGCGTCACAAATACCACTCTGGCGCCATTCATAAGCCCTCGTTTTTATGTGGATTAAACGTCAACAAATTCAATCCTCTCCTTTGCCTTACAACGTAGAACTGCTTTCATAGCG